CAAAAAAAAAAAAAAAAAAAAATGCTTTGCCTTTCCCCACCCTGTCTCCTAATGCTGGTGAGGCTATAGCCACATCCATGTTCTTGCTATTTCTGTGTGGGAAGAAACTGAGTAATAATCTCATCCAGGGCTAAGATGACGGTCTAGGGCAGCCTTGCTCAGTGCCTTTACCAGACTGGAAGGAGCAGCCTGTGGCCCTAGAGAGGCCACTCGAGGGTAGAAGCTCCCTCTGGATGTTCAGAACCCCGGCCTCTTCTTCTCTGCTTATCCTTCACAGTGGGGTTGGTAGGGGGTTGGGGGAATATGTGTAAAGGCATGCAGGGCTCCCCAAAATAATAAGAGTCACCGATTTTGCATTTGTTAACACACAGTTTTTGGCTCTATTGATACTATATTACATCGTGATGCATGTACCTGTTCTTTAAAAGTGAGGTATTCTTTCAGTTACATTTCTGTACCCATATTAACATATTCTCCCAAGACCTTAGTATAGGAATGCTTAATGAATTACCCACAGTCCCTTATTTTGCTAAATATTTATTTCTGCACTTACCTTCCATAATTATGTTCTTCTGACTTCCCTCCTTTTGGGGTCAGCCTGGCCTGAGCCCCATAGCTCCTGACCGTCCAGCCTGCCCAGAACTAAGTTCCCCTGGCTCCCTGGAAGCCGGGGACTCTCCAGGCCACTCATCTCTCCACTTTAGCCCCAGGGAAATCCCCACTTACAAAATGATCCCTGCTTCCAACACCCTTTCAACCAACAAGCGTTAAATTGGTTGCTATTATCATAATGAGGTGGGCCAGAGAAAAGGGTTGTAGGAATTGTTTTGTTTTCTGGAATTTTCATGGGCAATTATAAGGGCGAAAAAGAACAGTAGAATGAGATACTACGTTTTATCTGGACTGTCTGTTCTAATCCTATTAAGAATTAAGTTGCACTATTATATCCATTTTATAGATTAAAAAAAAACAAGTCTTGAGATGCTAATTAACTTGTTAAAATTCATACAGCTACTGAGTGGCAGAACTGGAGTTTGAACCCAGGAGTATGTAAGCAGGGGCCCTGCTCTACCCTCTGAGGATAAAGATATCTCTATATCTTTAGGGGGAGAAAGGACGGCCCCCGGGAACAGGAAGGGGAAAGCTTGGAACAATTGACTACCTCTGACCGTTGTCAAAAATTGTAATCAGGGAATTCAGTGGAAGCTTGAACCAGAATCCAAAATCAGCACATAAATGTGCAAAACCCCAGACTGAACCCAAATTAAAAAATTTTTTTTACTGAATAAGCCACAACCTAATGAATCCATTAAACTGAGACATAAACTAAAAAGACTGTTAAATCAAAAAACTGAAACATCAGAATGTTCTCTAAAATAAATCATAACCAAACTGACATATTATTAGGTTCCTAGTTTAAAATAAGAGAGAGGAGGTCTCAAGACTTTATCCCCGCAAAACCTTGGTGTGAGGGCAAAGGAGCAAATGTGCTCTGCCAGGAGTCTAAAGAGACAGGAGAGGTGATGAAGCAGATCACAGGGGAGGCTTTCTTATGAAATAAAAGAATATCGCCATCTAAAATAGGAACGTGACCCCATAAACAGCTAGCACCTGGCCGTGTTTATATAGCCAAATTTGAGTGACCTTCTGACTTAAAAGGACAAGTGCACAGACTGGAAATGTATAGATGATTTAAGTATTTGTTTTAAACATTATTCTAGTTTCCTTTCTATCAAGCTTTTTACTGGAATTGCTAATAAACTGCAAATAGCCAACATGAATAATTTTTATTTAAAATTTTAATGCCTTCTTCCATAGGCTTAGAAGAAATGCTAACAAATGATGCAACTGAAAAAAGAAAATCATTTCAATGATACTTGTAACTAAATGCCCACATATGAGCTAAGGCTCAGATGTAATAACTGCTCTCTGCATTAAAGAAGAGTGATAAGTTAATGAGCCCCTCTGGGGTATTAAACACTGGGGTGGGGACTGGGGGACCCTGGGTGCACAGTGAAATAGAATACTTGTCCCTGCCATTGAGGAATTTCACGTTCCCTAGATTTGGGGCCTGGGGGCCAAGACTTGGTAGTACTTGCTCCGGCTGATATTTACCACTAATAATAATTAATTGGTAATAGTAATACTAATAATAGCTAATGTTTATTAAGCTTGATTTCGTGTCAGACATTAAGCCAAGCGCTTTATAGGTATTATCATTTAATCCTCACGTTAACCTGGTAGATTCTAGTATTGGCTCCATTTTGCGGATGAAGAAGCTGAGGTGCAGAGTTTAAGAAACTGCCCAAGGCCACAGCCAGAATGTGATGAGAGCCTTGACACCAGAGTTCAGGCTCTTAGCCATGGTGCCAGACTGGACCTGGGCTGCCTTGTCCCAGATTATCCTTCGGGAGAGCCCTGTTTCAGGAGTGGACTAATACAGTGCTCTGGGGTCCCTCAGCTCTTTTAGTTCAGTAGCTTTAATCTCCCCCCTCTGCCCCTTCTGTGCCCACTTCTCGTGGTAGCCCCTATGTTACACCCAATAACTGGTGGGTGGTAAGGCATTCGATAAATATTGCCTTCAAATGGAAGTGGATCAAAATGATAATATTTATGAGTGCCAGCTATATCCCTTTGAAGTTTACTTTTCTGGAGAAAATAAAAGTAGAAATTTATGGAAAATTCTGAATTTCCCTGAAGTGTTCACCCCAGGGCCATCTGGTGGTCCATATGGAGTCTTTGTGCATATCGGGGAAATGGCTTCTCCTGGCAGGGGGATGCAGCCCTCACCCAGGGTACGTGCCTGGCCAAGCAGAGCGCGGACTGGCTCTCAGCCCCACCCTTTACCCTCGCAACATACCGCAGGACATGACCTGTCCCCCTGCACATGGCAGCCCTGCTCAAGTCCAGGCTACCGATTGCCAAAGCACTCACACACCGGTAGGTAGGCTGGGGTCGTGAGCATAGGAGCCTTTGATACCAAGAAAGAGCTGGAAAAGCTAAGTGCTTTCTTTCTTGGTGCTCCTGAATCTGCAGTGAAGAGTGTGGTTTGGGGGACATCCTGCCCGGATTTTAATCCCAGCTCTACCACTCATTGGCTAAATAACCTTGGTCGAGTTACAAGGTCTCTCTGAGTCTCAGTTTTCTCATCTGCAAAATAGGGTTGCTGTGAGGTTTTATCGGGATGGTGTATACGGAGTGTGTAGAACAGTACCGGGCACAGGGGTGCGCTCGTCTGGCGTTGGGGGCACGGCACGTGGCTGGCATATTTAGGTGAACGTCTTCCCTCACAGAATGAGTCGACTTGGGGATGTTGGCGCATTTGTGGCGGGATGTCGATGTCACTTTAAAGCAGCCCTCAGGAAGCCTGCCCGGAGGGGCTTCAACACAAGCAGGGGACACAGTGACCTGATTCTTCAAAGTGTAATTAGAAGTCGTGGCCCAGCTCGTGTGCATAACATCCCTGGGTAATTTTCCAGCAGGATGCAACAAGCCTGCCTGCCCAGACCCTGTTCCCGAAACTGATTCAGTGTCAACAGTGTCACCTGGCACATATTCTTCTTGAGGTTCCACAGGTGAGCCTGAGGTGCGGCTCCGCTGAGACCCACCATTATAAGCTCACATTACAATGCCTTTTCCATCGTACTGTTGGTTGCCTGATGGGGGAGGAGGGCTCGTGTATGCCTTTGGAGTGGGTCACAGACCGGTGTACCAGGAAGCACAAGCATCCACAGCTTGGGGACCCAGAAGCAGGCCACAAGCCCAGCTGTGCTTCACTTAGCCCAGAACCTTCTCCAGATCAGCTTCTCATGAGAGGAGGCTGAGTGAGGGAAACATTGGAAGGAACTGAAAGGTGGTTACAGAGAGTGGACACCTCTGGGAGTGCTTGAAGGGAGGACAGATACAGAAACAGGGTCCTTACAAACACCCAACACCAGGGCCTTATGCTATACCCACATGTTGACAACTTTAAATTTTTAGTATTTAAAAAAACAGTTAACTTTTTTAAAGTTTGTTGCTAATTCCGTCCAAGCACTCAGTAGACAAGAGGCCAAATCCCTGGAGCTTAAAGGCAAAAGAACAAAATTCAACTGAGTACATTTTAAAGATCTTACTGGCTTTATATTTAGTGATTCATGAGTCAGGGAGCATGCAGTCTGGCAGATAGAATGGAGCTCCAAAGAGCTATACAAGGTGAGAGATTTTATTGGAAGAAGGGAACAGAACAAGGAAATTATACTAGGCAAAAAGGTGGGTTGATTATTGCAAGGTTCCTTTCCTTATAGGGGATGACGGGGGTTGTCAGGCAGATTACCTAACTAGTACTGATCAGTCTATTCCTGATTTAAGCTGATACCTAGTTTAGGGTTGTTTTGCCGGAAGAGCCAAAACTTTAAGTTTCCGTTTGGTGACATGGGGCTTAGCATAAGCAACTCCATTTTGGGCCTGTTGTTTGGTCTTTAACAGAACAAAGCATATCATTAGAGCTTAAAGGAGTGTTCTTTTCCTGTCTTTGAGCCAAAGCAATAATAGTAAGCAATTTCAGTGTTTCAGAGCTATGTTTCATTGTTTTAACTTGTGTGAGCAGTAAATACTTTGTAGCAGTGGGTGGCCCTGGCTAGTCTTATCCAGCTCAGCTTTAGGCCAGCAGAGTTGGTGTGTGTGTGTGTGTGTGTGTGTGTGTGTGTGTGTGTGTGTGTGTGTGTGTGTGGTGTGTGTGTGTGTGTGTGTGTGTGTGTGTTTCTTTTTTCCTTTTACAATGTCAGAACAGCCTTTTCGATTTTTTTTAATGTTCAACAAAGGTGTTTCTCCCTTTTAGCGTAGGTGACAAATAGTAGGGCAGTTCGCATTGACCTAATGCTGGATCCAGAAAGCTTGGTAATAGTGCCAGGTATGGTGGGCTCTAGAGAGCTTACTGTTTGGGTGGTTTTTGTTTTTGCATTTATTTCATAAAGGTTTATCAGCACTGTTATGTGCCAGGTGTGGTGCTAGGAGCTAGGGGAGACTGTGGTAAACAGGCTCACAGCCCTCACAGAATTTATACTCTTGTGGTAAAGCACACATTTGTCAAATAATACTTAATTACAATAGTAGTAAGTACTGTGAAAGAAGAGTATGCTGAGAGTATAGGACAGATGAACCTGATCGAGGGGGAAGGGATTGTTAGATAGAGATCAGGATAGGCTGCTGCCTAGGCTGCAAAGGCATTCTTGGCTTCAGAAGCAGCATGTGCAAACGCCCTGAGGTGGGAAGATCCTCACACATTTAAGGAACAGAAAGGAGGCTGGTGTGGGTTGGAGTGGCAGGAAGTGAGGTCAAATCACAGAGGACCTTATATGCCTTAGTAAAGATACTGGAATTTGGGCTTAGGGTTTTAATGAGCCTCACTGGCCATGTCACAGCTCCGTGTCGGCCAGGAGACTCTTTTCTCTGTCATGGAGGAGGCTCGCTCCCAAAACTGGCCCCACCCTGGAGATTTTCTTCCTCTAGAGCTGCCGTGATGCTTCATACCCACTGGTCTCATGCTTTATCCTGCCTGACAAGTCCCCAGCATGAGCCTTGTGATCCCTGAGACCGTATCATCCCCAGGCCCATAATGAAAGGATTAAATGTAAGTACTCGTGGTGGGTGAGTACCCAAATGAAATGAAAGTGAAAACTCATCTTCCTGATGCATTCGCTTCAGATTAGTAAATCCTGGCAGTGCATATCCTTGGCTTTTGTCTCTCGAGTGCTTGGACTGAATTGGCAACAAACTTTTAAAAATCAACGGTTTTTTAATACTAAAGATTTTAAGTTGGCAACGTGTGAGTATAGCGTAAAGGCCTTGGTGTTGGGTGTTTAGCAAATTCTGGGCTGTGGGGCAAACACCGTGGCTGACTCCGTGTTCGTCTGGCACCTTGAAAACGCCTTTTTCCCCGTTACTGTACACCCGGCCGGCCATGATGGGCCCCAAGCCCCTGGCCCATCATCTGGCTATGCTCAGGTTGCCCTGGGAACTGCCGCCCGTGGTCAGAGGTCTGCTTGCCTGAACTCTGATCCTCAGCTGCCCTTTTTGGGGACCCCTCTGGCAGATTCTGCTTCATGTCAGGCAGCATTTCCCAGTGAGTTCTCGGCATGGGACCCAGGCAGGCTGCCCCCGATGGCCTTAGCTCTTAAATCTCACCTGGGCCTGTTCCCGGCCGCGGGCTTCTGCAGTGGTGATCCTGTACAACCGGCCTGCAGCTTGAACTTGGGGCAGAGCCATTTTCTGCTGGAGACAGCGAGTCAGCTGTTCTGACTTCCCTCCTGCTATGTGTGTGCGCACGCTCCTGACGCAGCAGAGTGCAGGGGGCTGGGCGCAGTGCTGCCCTCAGAAATTACAACTCTGCTGTAAGCGAGGCACTTCTCCGGGTTCAGTTTCCACATCTATACTGTGGGCATGCGAGTAACAGCTTCCATATGGTGAGCACTGACTCTGTTAATTCATTTAACCCTGTGAGTTCGTAGTAGTATCTCCATTTTCTGCGCCTTCCTCACAGGATTATGAAGGGGATTAAATTAACGTGAAGTGCTTTACAACCTGAAATGTATCAGATGAAAGTAATTTTATTCAAAATTGATTGGGGCAATTCACACAGATGAAAATTGTAATTCGCAGTACTCACAGTGCCTGTCCGTATATAGTGCTGATTCACAAACGTGTATCTGGTTATAGTACAGATCGTTCATTTAGTACATGAATATTTACTGAGGGCCTGCGATGTATCAGGCACTGTTCTAGGTGCTTAATATACGTCAGTACAGAAAATCAAAGATTGCTGCCCTCGTGATGCTTAAGTTCTAGCAGGCAGATGGATAATGAATAATGAGCACATTGTGTAGTGTATGGGGATGTTATGAGTGCTGTGCACGAGAAACAAGCAGAACAGATAAGGGGGGCCAGGAGTGCAGGTCGCTTTTCTCATCAGGGTGAGTCTCTCTGCTTTCAAATATTTCCCGAGTGCCTGCCGTGCCCTGTGGCCTGGAGACACAGCAGTGAATGGGACGAATAAGGTCCTTTCCCTCCTGGAGTTTACTTTCTGGCAGGTACAGTGGACAGTTAACAAGCAGGCAAGTACACGTGATAATTGCAGGTTGAGGTGTGTGACATGAAGGAAATAAACCAGGTGATGCGAGAGCAAGTAAAGCCGGGAGCAAATAGAGAGATGGGGTGGGCCTCTGAGTTGACATTTGAGCTGGGCCTGAAGTATGAGTGAGGCAGCCCCCAGGGCAGGACCGGAACCAGGGCCAGGAGAGACTCGGAAGGTGGAGTCAGCCCAGGGAGGCCTGAGTGTGAGCACAGAGAGCGGTGCAGAGGGACCAGTGAGTCTGGGGAGAGTGGCTGGGACCCGTGGGCAGTGCAGGGGTCTGGATTCTACCCTAACATCTGAGGATGGCCACTGAAGGGCTCTAAGTAGGGCCTGACTTGGATCTCCTTTGTGCTGTTAAAAGGCTGCCCGGCACACTGTGTGCCTAAGCAGTTATCTCCGTAGTCACACGTGAGGAGGACACAGTCAGTTCTCAAGCTGATTCCCGCCCACATTCATCGAACCCTTGCTGTGTGCCAAGCACTGTGTGTGGTGCTTTTCATGGGCATTTCTTGGTTCACTCCTCTCTGCCCAATTTCTGATTTGTCCAGAAAGAGTCCATGCAAACTGTGATTCATTGTCTTGCAGGAGTCCCCCAAAAGCTGGGGTTCAGGGGGACCCTGGGGTGGAGAACAAGGGTGCGATGGCAGGTGGATATAGGTGGTTTAACACCAAATCAGCAGTTGGTCTCTGTCCGTTTTTAGGATAACCCGTCTTGTGACTCGCAGGAGGTTCATTGTTGTTCAGAAGCCAGAATGTACAACAGTTCTTCCCTCCACCCTCCCTGACAGGTAGAGGTCAACTGAGAGGAACAGGGCCATTCAGTCAGCTGGCCCTTTAAGAAAATGGTATTTGGCTTTTGAAACCAACTCTAGATGATAAGCTTACCCCTAAAATGAGAAGTTCCAGGGGATAAGACCCCTGTCCTGGTCATTCTGGTAACTCAGTTCACACAGCATTCAAATTTAAAATGCCTTTTCACATTAGCATCTCTAAACGTCAGTGGAATTTGGTGGAGACAAGAAATGGACGCAGCACTTCAGGGGTTCAGAGATAGACTCTCTAAGCCCGTTTGCCAGCTTTCTTAAGCAAGCAGGTGTCCAGGCAAGCTTGACGGTGAGATGACCCCAAGGGCTACCCTAAACACTGCTGTGTTTCAAAAAGAAAAAAAGAAACAAAGCACCTTTTCCCCCTTTCATCTTTCCAAACTAGCAACTGGAAATATTTAACTGGGCACATTGCATCACCCGCGAATCTGATAATACTCGTTCTCACAGTCTGTATGCACACAACTG